TTTTAATTTTCAATGATATTTACTTTTTTAATCCTCATTTAAATGAAACTTGATTCAACCTAAGTCACTACTAAGCCCTTAAAACTTAGGTGAGTGTCTTAATTAGCTTTGAAAAAGTTAAGCTTTAGGTGATCATGATTCAATTAGAATTTAATTTAATTTATAAAATTATTTTCATACAAAAATAGGATTTTTCAACGAAAATTCCTAACTTGACCAAGTTAAATTATAATCCTTTGAAATTTTTACTGGAGGTAGAACTAGACAAGAAAAGCCTTTGGACAAAATTTCATGATTTTTTGAATTCTCTGTGATTTATTAGAATTATTTTAAGTTTTGGGCTATTTAATAAAAATTAAAATATTTTAGGCAATGAAAATTAAGTTTTGTATTTTTAAAAAATCTCCCTAACATTGAAGAACTTAGAGGAGCAAATTTTAAATTTTTCTGATTTTTCTTTGATTTATTGGAATTATTTTAGTGAAAACTCATTTTTAGCCTTTTAAAAATTATTTTTAAGCTTTGAAATTCAATATCTTTATTTAGATATCCACGAAAAATATTATAATTGTTCCTAAGTGATTAGGAAACAATTTAGAATATTTCCATGAGTTTTATTATTTTTATGATTTTTATGAATTTTTAATTATTAAATATTTAGAATAGGCTAAAAATCAAATTTTTATTTAAATATCATTTTATTTTTAGAAAATACCCCTGATCACAGAGAACTCAAAAAATTAAGTTTCATAAATTTTTGAGTTATATTTTGATTTTTAAAAATCATTTAAGTTTCAAATTTGATGGTCATTTGTAAAAATCAATAAATCAATTTAAGTTATCAAATGAACTTAAAATATTTTGGAACTTTTATGATGAGTTCTCTGGATCAAAAATCACAGTGGAAGTCAAAAATCAAGTCATTTAAATGTTTATATTTTTTAAAATTAATTATCTTAGTGATTTAGTATTTGTAAAATTTAAGGATATTTTAAATGACTTGACCCATGAAATTATTTTCAAAGGTTTCTCTGGTCATGGTGGACCTTTCAAAATTTTCTTGGGATTTAATAATCAATATGCTAATTTTCATGATTATTTTAAGGAAATAATGTGAAATAACTTAAAAAATACGGGTCTCTGTATAGGGACCTTCTTTAACTTTGGAAAAATCATAGAATACTTCCCTTGATAGAGGCTACAACATGTCAAAATTTCAAGCCAAGGTGATTTGTCAATAAGCATGGAGAATCAAATGATTCCAAATAGTGTTTAATTAATTAAAAATGTTTTATGCATCAAATAGACTTTAAAATTATTCCACATTGTTCTCCTCTATTCACTGAGTAAGAAGATATTTTTATTTTATTTTGTGATTTTTCCACACAAAGTTATGTATTTTTGAAGTTTTAGGGATTAAATAAATAAGAAAATACCCCTATTTTTCTATTTAAACAGCGCGTGCCACCTCAACCTACGATGGCTCCGAAAGCATGCGTGGGGCGCTCTGGTTAGACGCCTCCATCTACGTAGCTTGCTGACTCGGCCCGCTATTCATGTCCTGAAGTGCTGTCCGGCGCGATCTCCCCCGTCCATTGAATACACGCTCAATCGGACGGCTCCCCATCATCGTCGCCGATAGGATAATCCCGTGCCCGTCCACGCTAAAACCTTAAGATCTCAGCCTAGACTCAACCAAATCACTTCGGGTTTGATCCTATGGACTCGTCTAAGTGAGACGAACACATCCATAT